AACTATATTTATCGGGAAAAAATTGTTGAGAATTGATCAAAAGACGGGAAAAAGTAAAGAAATAAATGAAAAACAAATACATGAATTAACACTCGACCTACAAAAGCCAATACACCTCCCTCAAATTGAAACACACGCATTCCACAACTTAATTATAAAGAACTATAGTGACCCTAGAATTGAAATTCTCCAAATGTTCCAAACCTATGGAATAGACAAAAAATTTGAACAAGAAAAAATTGAAAATGCAATAAAAAATGGAGAATACGTACACACCGAAGAATCAGTTAAAAATCCATTAACAAGCATTCTTGAAAAAATTTGGGAAATTAATCTTGAAAAATTGTGGATTAGAATGGTAGCACTGTATATAACATACATCTGGCTATTCGACAATATTCTCCCTTTTCTACTTAAATACATAAAAAATACTAGAATCGGAAGATTCTTGGCACAGGTATTAACAATAATAGTAAAAACACCCGAATCAGAAAAAACAGAAGAAATAATCATGAACACAATAATGAGGAAAATTAAGGATGAGAAGAAAGACGAAGAAGAAAGAAACGAAGAAATACGTCTTCGCGCGGCCGCCAGTGTCGTGTAAGGAACACGAAATTATAATTATTTAATAAATTTAAATATTTCCTCCTATTTTTCCCTTTATTTCACCTGTCCGCGACAGGCAATTTCATAAATTATTTTCCCATAAACATCCACTTTGACCCCTTCTTCTCTCTTCTTTTTCCGGAAACTATTGTCTTTTCACCCCTAGTTAATACTATTTTCCATATCACTTCTCTATTCACTATTGTTTAAATCTCTGCCTATTGTCCATTATATCCCCTATATAAACAATAGGCAGATCTTCCCTATCATCTTCAGTTTCAATTTTCCATTAATTCTTTATAAAAATATTTAATTGTATTTTTAATTTTAAAGATAAATATTTTATTTAAATTCACTTTATTCAATAACTCTTGGGACCTAGCTTCCCCAAAAAATTTATTTGTCAAAGTAAGCTTTTAGTTGACAAAAAATATTTTAAACTTTGTGTGTTTCTTTCACTTTGATTAATCATCTTTTTTTATCATTTTTTATTTTATTTTATTTTAATGTCACAAAAGTTGTCTTGTTTTATCTTTTTTCTTACATATTTAATGAAATTTTTATTTTATTATTTTGCAGACAAAATTTGGAAAGAACTTTAATAAAATAAAATATTTTGTAATATGTATTATGTATTTCTACACAATTTATTTAATTCTTTCTCAATTTCTCCAAAAATAATTTCCCCAAATTCTCTCAACGGTCAATGTGTGAACAAATCAATTTTCGTTTTTATTTTTTTTCACGCAGTGTTGGCCCAAACATTTATAGTATAAAACATTTTTGTGTATACATATACCTATATATTTATTTCCCTTTTAGTTTGGCCAATTCATTTTCTTAACCTTTTCTTTTTTAATTTAATTCGCAAAATTCAAAGATCATAAAAAATTTATTTCTATATCATCCTCCAAAAAACGTTTTTAAACTAAAAATTTTTTTATCAAAAGACATACTTCAAACGCCCAACTTTCTCTGTTTAGTACAAAGAAATTATTAAATTTTTGATAAGTAATAAATATATACTTAATTATTTATTTAATTTAAACTTTTATTTTTTTGGAAGATAATTTTTTATTTAAATAATTTTATTTTAAAAATTTATATAAAAATTTGTTTTCTAAATTTGTAAATAACATACCCTTTCTTTTTTTCAATAAATATATTTTTTGAACTTGTACATGTTGTGAAACGCGAAAAATTTTTCTACATGATTTGGATGCTATTTTATTTGGTCATGTTATTATTTTATCGTAATAATTACTCTAAAAATTAATGTTAACCTATTTAATTATATAATTAATTTTTAACATTAATTCCCTTTTTTTATTTAAATATTCTTTTGCCATAAAAGGTCTTTCCACAGAATTGTTTACGTGAATTGAATACGCCAATAAAAAACTATAAAAAAATTTTTTTCTTTCCGTCAACGGAATTTTGTCATTTTATTCCCACACTTTTTTTCCTCAAAAAATTTTTTTCCTTCATTCTCAAACAAAAAAACATTTACAAATTTATACTTAACCTTTTTATTTTTCACAAATTTATTTTTCTATTATTTTTTTTTATTTTTAATTTTTTTTATTTTTTTAATTATTTAATTTTCCAAAAATTTAAAAAAAATTAAGAAAATTTTTTTTTATTTCAAAAAAATATTTGATTTATTGAACATTTTTGTTAAAAAATATATTTTTTTAATTTATTATTTTATATAAATTTATTATTTTAAATTTACGTAACTATTTATTACAAAAATAGTTTTTTATTTAAAAATTAATATTTTCTTTTAAGAAAAAAATATTTGGTAATATTTGGTTCTTTTTAAAATTTATTTTCTAAAATTAGAATATTTTTCAAAAAATAATTTATTGCTTTCTGAGAATAATTTTTATTTTTTATAAAACATTTAAAATTTCTCACTTTAATATTTAAAATAAATGTTGGATTAAATAAGTTGATCTTTAAGCTTTTAAAAATTCTGAAACTTGGGAAATTAATAAAAAAATTATTTTTTAAATTAATTTAGAAAATTGTGTGTTTTGGTTATTTAAATATTTTTAGAAATTAATTATTTTTGTTAATTAAAAAATTGTAAATTCTAATTATTTAAATTTAAAAAGTCTTTAATTTTCATTCTAAAATTATTTTTTTTATTCTAATAAAATTATTTTTTGTATTATCATAATTAAATAGGAAGATCTAAATTTAGTGTAATTATAGGTAGTTGAGATGAAACCGAACTCAGAAAGTCGAAAATCTTCGTGAACCAATAAAATGTACTAGTCTAAATGTTTTAAAAATATAATAAGTAGTGATGGGAAAAATCTGCACGGAAGATCGCTTAATATGCGCATGTATATGCACCGGAAAAGGTCAAAATATGCATTTGCATGTTTTTCCCATCCCTAATAATAGGTTATTTTTTAAATTTCCATTAATTATTTTTTATTTTTAATTAATGACGTTTTCTTTGTTTTTTATCCATTTATTCTATTATTGTTTCTTTATCCATTTTTAGACACATCCTTCTAGAAAATTTAAGCCAAAAAATTCTCTTCTTTTAAAGGTTCGAAGATCACTACTTCTCTCTTATTTAATCAACTATACAAAGTAAATTTATCATGAGTTTTTTTTTCTGTCCCTCATTTTGTTTTCTCTTCCCATTTTTTTCATTTTCTGTCTCCAAAAAATTAAAGCATATTTCACGTGTACACACATACATATGTTATATCTCTTTTTTTATTTCAAGCCAAGTCCAAAACACTATTTTTTAGCAAACAAAACACAAAGAATAGTGGAAAAAAATTAAAAAAAGAATTTTACTCGGATATATATTCCCCTCAATTCCTTCCCTCATTCCCCTTTGGGAAAATTGGAAAGAATGCAACGGAAGAAGACGGAAGTGGAGTAAAAAAACTAAATAATTCTTATTATTAGCTTCTCAAACATTTCATTTTCTTTCTTTTTTTAAACATTTTTTGGGTTATTTTAAAAATGTTGTACTTTTTATAAGACGAGAGGAAAATTTAAATTATATTTTTGTAAATTTAAATTGTTAAATTATATAAAAATATTATTTTTTTTAAAAGTTTTCCTAAAGAATCTTCATTCTATTTAGCATTTTAATTAAAATATTTTTTTGTCATTTTTCTTCATTTAAAAATCAGAAAAATAAAATGAGTAAAAATCCTAATCAAATATAAACCCGGCTGTATCCCGAGTCTGACAGATTTTAATACGAATATAATATTTCGAGACAATAAAAAGCGAAGTTAGTTTCGGTTTCAAAAAGCGGAAAGCGAAAAATTTTTGAGTTAAACAAAGAAAAAATTGAAAATTTTTAAAGCAAAGCTCGGCCATTCCTGTTTATATTTTGAAGTAAATCTCATTAAATTAATTAATTATTCCATTAATTATTAGAAAGGAATTAAAAGAAAAACATGGAAAACACCAAAGAAAAAGCAATCTTAAAAAGAAGTTTCTAATTTTAGAATATATAGCTTTCTACTATTTTTTAATCACAATTCTAAACACGTGCCGTATCTACAAATTTTTCTTTTAAATTAATTTATTCGTGTTTCAATCTTTTCTTTGTTTATTGTTGTCAATCACTCAATTCCCTAACTCCGACTTCTCAATTGATTATTTACTGCCAGCTGTAAATTGCTTTAGAGAGGGCGAGCGTTTTTGATTTTATTTGTTTTCTTTTTTTAAATTTTCTAACTGTCTCTTTAAATGCTATATATGAGTCTTGAATATTAAATTTAAAACACAATTTTCTGCAAATATTTTAAATTAATAATTTATTCTATTATTTAAAATAATTATATATTTATTTTTTATTTTATTATTTATTAAATTTAAATTTAGATTTTAAAATTTACTTTCTTTTTTTTGTCTCTCCTTTGAAAATTCCCTTACAATGGAGAGTGCCTGGGGTGTCCGTGGGACTTCGGTATAAGATTATGCAGACAGGTAGATCATACCCTACTTTAGTTGTAAAATTTTCGCCATTTCCGCTAAATGGTACCATGGATAATGATTCCAAAAAATTCATTTTCTTCCATTTTCTTCCTAAAATTCATTTCATTTTCTTATTTTGTAAAAAAATATTAAATTTTATTCTTAAATATTTTTAAAGTTTTTTTTAAAATTAATTTAAAAAGAAACGGGCACACAAATTAATGAGATATTTAACGAATTAGAGAAGCTCATTAAAAATAATTTAAAAATTAAATTTTTGTTTTTATTTATTTTTTAAAAATACTTCATTATTTACATCTTTCTTCCCTTTTCTCATCAATTTTTTCTTTCACGCAACTTTTGTTTCTTTAAATATATATATTTTCTACTAAATACTTTTTAAATAAGCACTTATGGCCAAACATTGATGCTGTCATTTCTCTCCTTTCTTTTTAAAATCCTTCCTCCCCTTGTATTGGCCTAGTAAGTATTTCTATTTCTATTTTATTTCTTTTTTCTATTTTCACATGTATTGGCTGTGTTCGACGTTCTCTTTTTTGCATTCCCACAAACAATCTTCCCCCAACTCTTCTAAATTTGTTCTTTTTTTATTTACAGCCACCCAACACAAACATACATATTTATTTATCTATTTATTCCTTTTTTTAAATGTTGCCGCGGGAACGCCATTTTAAAAGTATTTTTAAACTTGGAGAGATTTATGTAGAGTCAAAAAAGGAATTAATGATATTTTTATTTTGATTATTTAATTTTTTATTTTATTTTTTAATTAAAAAATTTAAGGGGTAAACAATTTATATATTAAATATATATTTTAAAATTAATTTTTTAAAAATTAAATTATTTATTTTTCACATTCTTTTTGTTAAATAAACAATCATTCTTCTATGTATTTTAACATTTTAATCTCTCAAATTCACCACCACCATCATTTGTTCTTTCAAATATTTTTTTTCAAATATTGTTGCATTCATTCTCTCTTCCATTTTTCTACCAACCGATTCATATTTCTCTTCTTTTTCTACTCTCACGTTCACCTTTTTTTCCAATTTCCTTCCTTCACGTATGTTTAGCTCTTTTAGAGACCTTATTTTAAACACAATTTTTTCTCTTTTTCCATTCATTTTGTCCCTCCCTCCCTTCCCTACTTCAGCCAACAAGAAAAAGAATTTTTGCCGCAAAATAAGCCATCCGTTCTCGGCTGCAGCTGTCTTTTTCATTTTTGACGACTTTCGACCCTCCCTCCTCCTTATAAATAACCCTCATAAAAATAAAAGATGGGAAACAACTCTAAAATAGGCAAGAAATGTGGCACAATAATTTACTGACTTGCTGCATATATTCCTTAAAAAACCTTCACGCTTAATCTTTCTTATTTTCTCCATTTTCTGTTCTTGGTCTTCCTTTTTGGATTTATAGTTGTTACTATTTTAGAATAATCTTTTAGAATATATTTTTGGTTATAAATATACTGCCAAAGCATTGCAGTAATTTTACACAAAAATTGATAGGGTGCTACAATGCTTGGAATTGCCTCCTCATCCTCCTCATCTTCTGCTGCACATTATCAAGAATTTATTAATACTTTATGTTCTACTTCCTCATTAAACACCTCAGAGGCAAATTAATTTTATTTTTATTCCTTTAAAAATATTTTATTTTAAGCATAAAAGGCAAAACTCAGCTTTTCATTTGCCCTTAAACGAGCAAATGGCAGCAACAGCCATTTCCAACAATCATTCCTTTTCTTCCTCATATTATTCCCCTCCTCCTCCCAATCATCATCATCGCCAACAAAACAAACATTACCTCAAACACCAAAATAAAAAAGAATTATTTTCCTCTATTAATGCATTACTGCCCAGTCATAATCACCAAAATAATCACCAAAAGCAACGACAAAATAATTGTAGTGGGGGTGTTGGAAGTGGAAAAAAGTCTAGAATGGATTATTCTAATGCACTCTGTGCTATTTGTAATGCTCCAGCTGATGGTCAATTAAATTTAATTTTTAATTTAATATTAACCAAAAAATAATATTTTTAATTAAAAAATAATTTTTTTCTCCTATAAAATTAAATAAAAAAATAATAAATAATAAATTATTCTTTTAATTATAATTTTTCCAAATTATTTAAATAAATTTTAAGAAATATTACTTATTTAAAATTAATTAATTTATTTTTTATAATTAAATTTTAATTAAATATTTGGAGAGAAAAGTTTTAAATAATTAACTCGTTTTTAAGTAAATTTTTTTAATTAATAAAATTAATTATGATTTCTGTTTTTTTCCCAAAAAGTTTAACAGATTCTGATTTTTAATGAATTTAATTAAAACTTTTTTTAAAATTATTTTTAAAACTTGAAAATTAAAATTGATTATTTTAGTACGATAAATATTTTTTGATATTTTAAAAAATAAAATAAATTTATCAAAAATTTACATTTTCAGGCCTCCATTATGGAGCAATTTCCTGTCGTAGCTGTAATGCTTTTTTTCGTCGTGCCATTACTTTTAAGCAGGCAAATAATTAAATAAATAATTTAAAAAAATATATTGAATATAGAATTTCCTCTGCCGAAAAGGAGGCAATTGTGATGTGGATGTAAGTGTTCGTTGTGCTTGTCGAGCTTGTCGTTTAACGAGATGCAAAGCTGCTGGGATGCGTGAATCGGGTAATTAAAAAGAATTTTTTTAAATAAATTTATTATTTCTTTGAAGATGTTCAACCAAAAAGAGACCCTACAGGAAGTCAAAAGAATCGCCGTGCACCTCAAAGACGTCGGGGATCAGCTGCTGCCTCACTCTTACTTGTTCCAAAAAGAGAGACTCTTCCAATTTTTGATAATAATAATACAGACGGGGGTTTTGAACCTAAAATAAAATGAAAAAAAATTCTTTCTAATTTTCTAGGATCTCCAAATACTCCTTTACCTTCTCTCTCATGTTTTGAGAAAATATTAAATAATGGAACTTTGTATCATCCAATTTCTACAATTTGTCCTTCTAATGGAACTGAAGGTTAAAAAAATAAATAAAAAATATGTAAATTTAATTTTCAGAAAATGGTTACCAAACAATTCATTCTCCATCTACCTCATCATTCCCTCCTTCTGCTGAATCTGGAATTTTTGATGAAAACGGTGCTGCTGTCCAATTTGTGAAAACTATTAAAAAAGAAGTAGTTGAAGAAGATGACGAATCTGATGATGAAGAGGAAGATGGAGAAGAAGAGGAGGAGGAGGAAGATTGGGAAGGGGGAGGGAATGGAAGAATGACAAATACAAGACGAACAAGTGATCTCAGTGCAAGTACAACAAGTACTAGTATTTTAAATAGAAGTGATGATGAAATTAGACAAAGAAGAAGAAAAAGGTGTCTTTAAAATGTCCTTTAAAATTTTTAAAAAATATTTTTTTAGATCAACAAAAACAACAAATAATTATCAACAATTAAATATTCAACAAAATTTAAATCAAAATTTAATTTTATTAAAACCATCAATTTCCACAATTGGAATTAACGAGAAAGAATTGGAAATACGTGAACAACAAACAGAATTTGAACGTTTAGTTAATGATTATTCTGAACATTTGCGTTGTATGAATCGTTTATTGACGCCTATAGAACATTTTTTAACTGAACAAGTTTGCTAGGGGAAATTTAATTTAAAATAAATTTATTTTTTAAAAAGAATTCTTCTTGGAGAACAATTGAACCAACAGATGTTGAACAATTAAGTAAAGTTGAATTGGGTGGACTTATGTATTGGATTGAGAAATTAACACCTTTTAGACAACTTGACATTAAAGATAGAGAAATACTTTTTAAGGTGGAGTTTTTAATTAATATTTGGTTGATATAATCAGACATTATTTTTTAAAGAATTCATTATATGATATCGTAATATTATAGGATATATTTATAATTATAGGATATCGATATGATTAATAATAATCATTATAGGATATCCTCCAATAGTAGATAACCTCCATTTAAGATACCTACATTTTTAAAAACTTTGCCTGTGACGGAGCGAAAATACCATGCCTTAATTCTTATAGGAGGATCCGATTAAATTGAGTTAAACTTGACAAAACAGCGAAATATTTAATCTTAAGATAAGCATAAATTTATCTTAATTTCAACAAATTAAAAATTTCCAGCGTTATTCTGTTCGAAAACTTTCACTAGACCATTTCTATACAGCATCTAAATATCCCGAATTAATTGAAAAAGGATATTTTGCAATGATTAATAATACTTATGTTCCTCCTGACAAAACTGGTTTTGAGACATTAACAGACGATAAAAGAACTAGAGAAGCTAAATTTGAGTAAGTTTTTATCCAAATATTTTTAAATTTTTTAAAGTATTTTACGTCCAACAATTGATCGTTTATGGCATACATTAGTCCTTCCATTTTCAAATCTTCGAATTAATGATGCAGAAATTGTTGCACTTCATTTACTTTTAATGTGGAGTCCAAGCAGTTTTGTCTTTTAAATTTAAATAAAATCTCCACCTCTCTCTCATTAGATAATAGACATATAACTCCAAAAACTCGTCAATTAATGTCTTCACGTAGAGACTGGGCAATTCAACGTCTTTTTAATTATTATCAAAATATTGGAATTGAGGAACCAGAAGTTCGTTTGGGTGAAATATTATTGTTATTACCTGAATTGGAGGTATTACTTTGAGTTATTTAATTTAAATTAATTTTTTTAAAAGGTAATTTGTGACAAACATTGCAAAGATTTTCAAGTAAATAAATATGATTAATTAAAAAAATTATTTTTTTAAAAAAGGTTGCACAATTTTTTGAATTTTGCAATATGTCTGAATATTGGTATGAGAATTATTGTTATACAACTTTAAATATTGCTGCAGCAATTTAGAGTGGGAAAGAGGGGGAAAATGTTTTTTTAGAAATTAAATAACCTCTTTTTTGAAATTGAAAAATGCTGGATTTTTTGAAAAATTTAAAAAAAATTTTTTTCAAAATTTATTTACTAAAATAATTTGATAGAAGTATTACCCCCTATTAAGAAATAATTTTAAAATTTTCCAAAAAAATCCAACATTTATTTTTTTTAAATTAACAACGCAAATCCTCATTCATTTATTTTTTTAATTATTTTCATTCTCTTCTATAACCATAAAAACACTTTATATATCCTCATTATTTATCCTCAATTTTTCTTTACCCTGCCGCGTGTTGATTCTTTTTTTGAATTATTTTTTAAAAAAATATATTTAAATTGTTAAATTTAAATTTTTTAGTTATTTTTTCCTTTTTCTTTTTTTTACACACACAGGCACATTTTTAGATTTTTTTTCTTTTAAATTTTTTTTGAATTATTATTTTTGTTGTAGATTTAAAATAAATACAGGGAAATTAATTAATTATTGTAGTAATTAAAAATATCTGTTATTAATATTTATTTAAAATAATCTGAATTTGACAGCATTAACTGGAGACACTTTTCTCCTTTCTTATATTACGAGGCTGATTGTTAATTGAAGAAAGACAAATTAATATTAATTTAACACATAATTTTAATAAAATAAAATAATAACAGATTTTTTTTTAAATTTTTATTAATCGAATTAAAATTTTATTTTTTTTACCTAACCCTCATATTCTTTTTTATCTTTAAATTTACATATATATTTATATTTTAAAATATCCTCAACGATTAATTTAGATTTTTATTTTAAACTTTATATTTTTGTAAATCCTTCATTAAAAGTTCCGGTGAAAAGAAGGAAGGAAAAAAAAGATAAATATATTTTATTTTATAAAAACACACAAATATACCCTCAAAACTTTTTCGTGATAATCGTCAAACAATCAGAGAATGTTTTAAATAAATTTTTGAATGGAATTAAAAATATAATTTTTTTTTAAAAAAGTCAAAACAACATTCCTTTGTTTGTCAATTTAATTAAAACTATTGTATGTAGTTATTTCTATAGATTTTATTTAGAGTTGTCTGTGTGTAAAATAAATAAATATTTTTTAGATTATTATTTTATTTATTTTGAAAAAATAATTTTAGTAGTTTAAAAAAGGGCCTTTTTAAAAAGCTTTTTAAAACAGAAATTTTTTTATATTAAGTTAAATTATTACATACATAAATATTATTTAGGAAATTAATTAAAATATAAAAGAATTATTAAAGCCAATTACGAGATTATTTTGAAATCTTCTTTCATCATTTAAGAAAGTGTTAATAATGATCGAAGAAAAGGTCTAGCCAATTGTCGTCCCAAATAACTTAAATGATTTGTATCAAAGAAAATAGCCAATTTTGTTGTTTCATCAAAAGCAGCACAACGATCATTTGTTGAATTACAAAAATGTGTAGATAAATCATAAACTAAACATTTTTGGCAATTTAAATGTTCAAGACGTTGATATGACCAATTATTCTTTTTTAAATGTTCCTAAAAAGTTATAATTTATTTTTTTAAATATTCTCAAAACTTTATAGGAAATATGTAATTGTTCTAATTCTGCCCCTCTCCAAAGTCTTTTTGCTAATTCTCTAGATGTTTCATATTTAAATAATAAATTGGGGGCTGGAAAGAATATCTGTATTTTAACATTTTTCTGAATTTCTAAAAGAAAAGAATTAATAAGGCCAAGTATTTCATCATTATCAGCATCATTAAAAGGCTGTTCTTCAAATGAACCATACCACCTATAAAATAGATTTTAAAAAATCTAGAAAAATTTATTTTAATTACCTAAAAGCAATAAATAAATAATCTGGTTTGATAGTTTGAATAGCCTCTTTAACTAATTGAGAGTAAGCAGAGCAAGCTTTAATTGGCATTTGATGGTCAGGTGTAACAAAAGATAAATGTTCTGGAACATAAAAAGGCACACAACCTAAGAAATATAATCAAAAAATTTTTAGAAATTCTTCTAAAATTCTTTTAAAAATTACCAGGGGCAGTAAACATATGAAAAACCGAATAATTTTGTTTAAATTCATCTTGTAATTCACGTGAAATTATATCTGCATGACTATTTCCAACAAGCAAAAAAGATGTTGAATCTTTACCCTCTCCACGTGATTTTCTCTCAATAACTGCTTTGAGGAAATTTCGCTCCTCTGGAACCATTTTAGCAAATTTTCCAATCCACCGGTTAGTTAAAACTTCTCCTGGCAATATTTTATATCTATCCTCGTATGTAGCACTTTGAAGTATTTCGTTAATTCGAATTTTTTCATAAAGTGATAAAGTATTGGCTAAACGAGAATGCCCTTCTGGAGACTTTAAATAAAATAAATTAAAGAAAAATATTAGAATCAAACAACAACTTTAACAATATCATCAATAATTAATCGAGTAAAGTTAACATCAATAGTTACAGCTCTCCCTCCCAAAGAACCATCAAAATCTTTTGTTACAGCAACTCTCTAATATTTAATAAATTAAATTTATAAAAGAATTTTTTAAACTTCATTTTGTCCAGAATAATAAGTTGGAAGTAATTGAAAAAAGCAAAAAGCGTAGAAAATACCAATGAGAAAAGTTACCGAACAAAAACTTTTTAGTTTACGAATTTGTGCATCCACTAATATTTCAACAATAAATGCAATAATTAATGTTAAAATAAATGTAGCTATTCCATCTTTTAAAATATTAAAATTAAATTTCTGATATATTTAATTCCATCTTACATTTAAAAGAAAATTCATCGATAGTAAAGAAATATTTCAAAAACAAAATTGTTGGCCAATGAATTAAATACCAAACATAAGAAATATCCCCCAACCAAACAAATAATTTATTTGTTAAAAACAAATAAATTAACCAATTATTATTTTGTAAAAATAAAATAATTGAAGTAAAAATAACTACAAAAGAACTTTGAAATGGGCGTAAATAAATTGGAATTGATAAAAATGGAAAAAATAAAAGAATAATTAAAAGAATTAAAATAATATTTGGAATTAAATATTTTAATAAAAAATTAATAAAATTATAATTAGTATTTCGGTGTTTCTAAAAAAATAAAAAATATAGGAAAAAATATAAAAATATTTTTTACATTTTCTATTGATGGTGAACGACTTGATATTTGAATATTATTGTTAATAATTGTTTGTTGTTTTTGACAATTAAATATATCATCTATAATTTATTTTAAATTAAAAAATGCCGTATTTTCTCGATTAATACTCCTCCCTCGAATAATTCCCCCTCTCGATTAATTCTCCATGCAAAAGTTAGGTTGAAACATTAATTCCCCACCCCCAAATACCCTACTCCACGTTCAAATGCCAAAACTCAAATAATTCCCCTCCCTCGATTAATTCCCCATGCCAAGGAAGGGTTGAAAAAATAATTCCCCAGGGGAATACGGTAAATAATTTAAAAACTAACCAGATTGATTACAATGTGCCAAAATATAAGGCCAAATAATTATTTTATTATTATTTTTATTATTATTTCCTTCTTCTTCTTTCTCTTCATTTTCAATTAAATAATCATTTGTTAATAAAAAACTTATAATTCCTGCTATAAATTGCCAAAAACGGCAAAATATAAATCCAAAACTAATTGAAGAACCAAAATATAAATAAATAAATTGTTGAGAAATTAATGATAAAATTAAAAGTAAAGAACAAAAAATGAAACGTCGAAAATTTTGTTTTAAAATAATTGAAGGGAAAATATTTGTAGAAGAAGAAGATTGTTTTTTAGAATTTCCAAAATAATTAATAATAAACATTAAAATTGGTGATAATAAATAAAATTGAATTTCAACTCCTAATGACCATGTATGAAGAAATGGGCGATATGAAAATACCTGATAATTATTAAATTGTTAATAAAAATAATATTGAAATTAAATAATGTTTAATTTCCATAATCTTTTTAATATTGATAAATAGTTAAGGAGTTGAGGGAATATTATATCAGTTCAAAAAACGAAAATTTAATGCACCTCATTAAAATAATTTTTCGTTAATATAAAGGGGTGTCTAATCAACCCGAAGAAACGAGGATTTTCAATTTGGTTTTTTGATTCGGTTTTAGATATTAAAATATTTTCCAAAAACCAACAACTAAAAACTTCAATTAATGTATAAAATTAAAAATATTTATTTATATTTTCATTAAACCTCAGTAAAATAATCTTTAGAATTACAAAACAAAGATTGTAAATTTGTTACAAATCCAAGACTCCAATACATATCTAATCTAGCCTGTTGAAAGTCAGATTCAAGCATAATAGTACGTGAAATACTTTAAAATAACAGCGATAATTATTATTTAATTAATTAGAGATACCTAGCGGTAGCACAAATAACACCTAAATAAATAGGCACAATTCTTTGTATTCTTCTCTTATAAAAATCCAAAATTGTTTCGAATAATTTAGGGAAACTCAAACTATTTGTCCCTATATTTTGCAAGCATTTAGCAATCAAATAGCCAGAAATAACAAAAAATCTGAGAATAATATTAAATAAAAAAATATTTAAAAGAAAAAACATACACATCAACACCTAAAAATCCATTAGGAAAATTAAGAGGCCAAATATGATATAAAATCACAGAAATAATTGAAATAGCTCGAAGTCCTTGAATATCAGCACGTTTCATTATTTTTTATTTTATAAATTAAATTAATTATTTTTAAAATTATTTTTTGTTCAATTTTTATGAATAAATTTTAAATTTATAATAAAATTTTTAAAAGTTGAAGATGAATTAAAATAAATTTAAGAGAAATTTCAAAAAGCAAATAGCGCAATTGAAAGGAAGATGAAAAGATTTTTAATTTAAATTTTTGTAAATATGTAGAAGAGAGAAAACATTCTTTTTCCCCTCTTCTCTATTTTAAAAGGAAGAGCGAAATTTTGATTTGAAGATGGTTAACATTATTTTAAAAAATTGTGTCAATTATTTAAATTAAAAATATTTAATTAAAGAAATTTATTAAGCAATAAATTAAAGATTAAATAAATAAATACTTAAAGACTAAATACAAGTTATTAGTCAATTAATTAGTAGCCAGTCAGTCAAAACTAGCTGCTAATTTTTTTACAAATTATTAGGCTCTTGTTGATTTATGAGTTATTTTGTATTTGCATTATGTTTAAAATTATGTGCCTATTAAAAAATCATAATTTAAATTTTAGTTAAGTGTTCATTTTTTATAACAGATAAAGTTTGTTATAAAGGGAGATATGTATTTAAGAAGATACATTAGAGATCGGTTTGGATCCAATCTGGATTTTTCCTGCATCCAGATTAAGAATCCTGTCCAGGTTACTAACCTAAATCCTCCAGATCCAGGATTTTTGAAAATACCAATCTCTAGTATACTTATTATTTAATTTTATTACTCTTCTTTAAATTTTATTAATTATTTGTAATATCTTCAAAAATATTTATTTATATGTCAACAACTTCTTTCATTTCCTTTCTCATTTTTTTGTAAACTTTCATCATTAACCGCAACTTTTCTCTAGCTTAAATAAAATTGTTTTTATTACACGTTCTTTTATTTGATTTTGAGTGACCAAACCGTCAAAGCCAATTGCACAATTTTAAATGAGGATGAATTAAAAAAGAAAGTTTGCTCTAAATAAATAAAAAATAGGGTCAAAAATGTTTTAAAATTAAAAAAATAAATATTTAAATAAAAATGATCTTGTTCGGAATTAAAAAAAAACAATAATAATGAACCAATTAATCAGACATAGTAATAGAGTCCTTATCATAATGTTCCTAAATTTAAATTTTTTATTAAATATGGACCTTGAATTATTTTAAATAAAAATTATTTATGAAAATATATTTTTCCTATTTTCAGGTTCGAAAGTTAAGATTGATCTTAAAACTAGAGTAAGTCGAGCTCGAGCGAGTTCGAGTTACTCGACTCGACCGCTCGGGTTTTTTGCGTAATTACTCGACTCGGAACTCGGGATCATAATACTCGGATTACTCGAGCTCGGAAACTTCCTACTCGACGTACTCGGTTAAAACCGAGTATTTTTATGCCCCCATCTGCGGCGCAAAAAGGAAGATTTTTAGCTTAAGGATCTTCCAAAATTCTCAAAATTTTCGCCTGCGGCGCTGAAAAAGGAAGAAATCTAGTGCGATGGTCTTCCAAATTTCTCAAAATTTTTGCCTGCGGCGCTAATAGAAGAAATTTTGCTCTCTGGCCTTCCAAAATTTTCGAAATTTTTGGCTGCGGCGCTGAAAAAGGAAGATTTGTGTATATCGGAGAATTCAATCAAGCTAAGTGGATTTTAGTGATATCCGGATATTTCAAGGGATCTAAAAGAATAGCGAGGGATCTGGCCTTCTGAGAATTGGTGTTCCTACTTGACCTTCAGAAATTCTCAAAATTTAAGCCAACGGCGCGAAAAGAGAGGGATAGAGCAACGTATCTCATGATCACCTTTCGACAATATATCTAATCCGACGATATCCCAATTAATCTCCCGAATTTCCAAGATTTTGCTTTTAATACACCCAAATCTCACTATAATCGGCCTAAATCCCGCTTAATCCCTTGATATCCATCTCATTCCTCTGTTATCATTCGATATCCTCTTAATCTACACGAATTCCCGAAATAATATTATCCATTGATGTTCAACCCGGAGCCCGATTCAACATTGATCGTCTGCATATCATGGAATTTTTGCGGATTAAGAGGGATATAGTCGGATTAAGAAAATAACTGAGATTTGGATGAAGATCTAACGCATTACTGCCAATAAATGCTAAAAACACGGCACTGAGGATGAATAGTCTTTAGTAAAAGTATTGTTTTTATTGAAATTATTTTAAAATACGTTTTATAAAAATACTCGATTACTCGACTACTCGAACTCGAACTCGGCCTAAAAAGTTGAGCTCGAGCTCGAACTCGGGTTTTTCAAACTCGGATTACTCGAGCTCGGTTTTTTCCCAATTACTCGGTACTCGACTTACTCTACTTAAAACCGAAAGGTACGAGAAATATTACAATATTCATTCAAAAATTAATGAAAATTTTTAATATAAAATTTCTATTATTGACTACGAATTAAATAAAATTAAATATTTTTTTAAAATTATAATCAAAAATAAATGTAGTTATTCGTTTAAATTAATTCTTTTTAATTGCAAAAATTGATTTAAAAATCTCATAAAATTCTTCCTTCGATAATCCTTCAATTTGTGTTTTTAACTTAAAATAGAAATTTATTTTTAAATAATTTAATTTTATTAAAAATTTAAATAATTTTAAAATAAAATTTAAAAAAATCTGACCTCAGGACGTAAATTTCCATGATTCTGAAATTTTGATATAATCATAATAGTAATTTAAATTATTTTTTGGTTGACTTATCCAGGTTTATCTCGGTTAATCCTTTTATGGCCATATAGTTCAGGTAAACCGAAATTTTTAGCAAAAATACCTGTGATCATTAATCTAATGGCCAGATAATCTCTGATAGCTAATTTTTTTGTTAAACTTATTTAGTAATTAAATATTTTACTTAAAATAAGAAAAACAAATAAAATAAACAAACATGTAAATAATTCCCTTCGTTATTTTCAATAATTATTTCTTTTGCTTTATTCCATATCGGGAAATAATAATTTTGATAATTTAATATTTTTTGATTTAATTCTTTAATTTTTATTTTTCTTTTATTTATTTTTTCTTCAATTTCATCAACACAAATTAATTCTTGAGAATCATTATTAATCATTTTCCCTAATTTAATAATCCTTTTCTTTTCGTATTTTATTAAACGCTCAATTAGAAAGTTTCCAAAAGATAATAACATTCCAAATTGACAAAATTGTCTATTTGAATATATTTGCTTAAAAATGGGGAAAAATTATTTTGTATTTTAAATTAATTAGTAATTTTGTTGAAATAATGAGTTTTATTAAGATAATATTTATGAATTCAATAATTGAAGGGAAAGTTTTCAATAGTATACATATATTTTAAAACTTTTTATTAGAGAAAGAGTTCGGCAAAAGTTTAGCCGAGCAGGATTCGAACCTGCGACCTCCTGACAGGTATTGCTAGGTGCTTTCGCTCACCATAAATATACAATAGCTCTACCACTGAGCTTTTTCCTTTTTAGATCGTTTAACCATTGCAGTAGTTAATGCACCCCAAACGTCACACCAATTGTCACACCTGTCAATCAAACCTGTGCCTAAAGGGGGGTTTTGAGCTGATTAATAGGTAATTTCTGTGCCTATAGGGCACTTTTCTTTTGATTCGAGGTAATTAATCATGATTAATTAGGGTAATTAATCATGAATGATTAATTACCTTTTGACAAATATTTTGCGGGTATTTTAAGGGTATAAAAATATTAATATTTGTGACATTTGATGATGCTAAAACAATTGCTAAAGCAAAGGGAAAGGAATTTTTAAAATTAAAATTAACGAAAGGAAGTGCGGTAAAATAAAAGAGCAAAAGGTCTCAGGAGGCAATTGATGTAAAATAAAAGAAGTGTGGTAAAATAAAAGAGAGTCAGAAGGTTAAAAGTTTAGGGATTTCCTGCCCTATCTCTGGAAGAGTAATTTATCATTTAAAATTAATTTATCATTATCATAATAGATTATTAAAAAAATATAAAACTTGCAGAACCTATTAAAATTTGTCATAATAAAGCTGTCATCAAGGATTAATACATTTTATAATAAAAAACTACTGGCTAAATGTTAAATTTTTTGATCATATTAATAACAATCCCGTCCTTATTGGCTGACACTTGGGACTCCAAACCCTACAAGAGAGAAGAGTATGTGGCAACAATACATAGGAGGACGCCTATACCAATATGGCGGAGAACACCACCACCAATGGACGCTAAAACCGGGAAGAGAGAATTAGTGACAACAATATATCGGATGACGCCTCTACCAATATGGCGGAGAACACCGCCCCCAATATTTCCTAGCATAGATAAAAATAATTCAGCGAAAATACCAATATGGCGAAGGACACCGACACCAATATTTCCTAACAAAGGTGTAAATAATTTGGGAGAGCTTGAAACACAAAATAAATTAAGCAATAAATCATTGTATAAAATTGATGACAAGAAAAAATTATCAATGAAATGGATTGTAAAAGATATCTATCATCCGAAGAAAAATGATTTAGCCAGACAAGCTGAAATAAAAAATATGGGACGTTGGATTCTACGTTGGGACCTTTGGGACAAGAAGTTCAAATTTGGAAAACATAATAAAACAGATTACTTAATGTATTCAAGATGGCGATTTTTATATGAACCTCCGATTTCAAATATTATAGATTTTTTCAAAAATTTGTAAAATTGTTTTAAAAAATTTTCTGTTTTATATTAATGTGATTTTTAATGTCCATTTATGATTTATTTAATATTTAATAAAATTAAATTTTCGAATTAACGCTGAATTTTTAAATAATAAATTATTTCAAATTTAAGAAACATGATTAATCAAATTAATTCTTATCAAACATATTCTAGAAACGATCTCAAACTAAAACTACCATTTGGCTGTATTGTTAGTGGGCCAAGTTCAAGTGGAAAAAGTACATTCGTTAAAAGTTTAATTGTAAATGCAAAAGAAGTGATTGACCCAATTCCAAAATCAATTTTGTACTGTTATGGAGAATACAATTCCTTAGTTTCCGATTTGCAGAGAGAAGGAATAGCTGTTTATTCGGGAGTTCCACCAGAAGAGGTTATAAAGAACCAAGAAAAGCCATCACTCATAATTCTCGATGATCTACTTTATTCAATCGACGAAAAATATCTTTCAGAATTATTTACAAAAAAGTCCCATCACTTGAATTTTGGGGTTGTCTTCGTCACTCAAAACCTATTTGAAAAGAAACTGCGTGTTGCTCGACAAAATTCAATGTATCTTGTTTTAACTAGAGCCCCAAACAGTGCTTTATCAGTTCGAAATTTGGGAGTACAATTATTTCCCGGTAAATTAGATTATTTTCTTGATTCGTATCGGCAAGCAACGAGAGAAAACTATTCATATTTATTTATTGATCTTCATCCATCTTCTGACTCATCACTAAGACTAAGAACAAATATATTTGAATTTGCTTCACTGAAAAAAGATACGGATAATTTTGAAACTACAATATTTTTACCAAAATCAATCAATTTTTAAAATGATAAGTCAAATAGTAAAAAACAATTTTCATTTTCTTAAACAATTGGCAAAGACAAGATCATTACAAAAGAGAAAACGTTTATTAAAACAAGCCACAATTGGACAATTAATCTCATTATCTGAAATCTGTCTAAATATATTAAGAAATAAATTTCAACTGACAAAACGACAAAAAGGTCGATTAGTTCCATTCGCATACTTTGTACGCCGTATTGGCCGTGTGAGAACTGAGCGCGGAGCACGAAAGCTTGTTATTCAAAAGGGAAACGGTCTTCCTCTAGGACTATTCCCAGCATTACTTACACCTATAATAATTGAACTTGCGAAAAATTTAAAAACAAACAAAAATGGCCAATAAATTTCTTCTTGTCCCAGAAGATATTTATCGTGGGTTACTTACACAGCCAGTTACAGAAACTGGGAACATAAATTTGGATTATACAAGGAAAAATTTGGACACAATTAAAAGACAACGCGTGAATAATGAACTAAAAAATATAAATTACAACCAAGAACTACGAAGATATTTACACATGTTAAAAGAACAGAATCAAACACCAACAGGTGTGGCAGTTCGTCAACTTGATAATCCAGCACTCGATCAAATCAAGCAGTTGATACCGCAAATTACTTTAAATCAAAATGAAAAACCATTGCTAAATGAAAAAGAATTGGAAGAAGAAATAAAAGAGGATGCTATGTATACAGCAGATGAGGGTAGTGATGCTGAGACTCCCAAGACTACAAGGACATCAAAATCGAAGTTAAATCAAAGGATTTATAAAATATATCATTTGTTGAAAAATAATATTGATAAATTTAATATAAACAAAGATGGCAAAATTTTAAATGAAGGGGGAACAAGGGAAATTCTTGGAAGTAATGTTCAAAAATCTCTTGATTGCATAATACGGTCAGATTTTACTGGTAAAAATAAATGGAATCAGCTTTCTCCTCCCGGAACTTCAATCCTAGAGAAACGTTTGAAAAATGACCCAACAATGTGGGAACTAATTGAAAAAGCTAGGGTGCAAATTACACCAAAAAGAATCAATATATCAAAACAAAAATTATCTCAAATTAAAAAACCAAAGCAATCATCATCTGAAGAATGGAGACTCCCAGCAGAGTGGAAGTGATACTAGACAAAATTTATAATGATCCAGCAAATCCTGCAGGGTTTGCCGGTGTTAATCAATTATTAATTGAGGCAAAGAAAAAAGATAAAAGAATTAGAAAGAAGGACGTAATAGAATATCTTGAAGGAAACCGGACATATACAATTCATCGGCCCCGACGTGTAAGATTCAAAAGATCAAGAACAATGCCCGCAGGGTATTTGACAGATGTTCAATGTGATTTGGCAGATTTTCAAAAACTGTCAAGGCAAAATAATGGTTATAATTATGCACTTGTTTCAATTGATGTTTTGAGCAAACGAGTTTTTGCTGAACCAGTACGAACCAAAAAGTCAAAGGACATGGTTCCAGCATTTGAAAATATTTTACAAAGAATGGAAATGCTACCCCACCGAATATTTAGTGACAAGGGTACAGAGTTTACAAGCAAAGAAATGATGGAGTTTTTTAAACAAAAGGATATTGAGAAGTTCACACCTAATGCTTCAACAGTCAAAGCTTCTTTAGCTGAACGTTGCATTCGTAATATAAAACAAAGGCTTTATAGATACATGAGCGAAAAACATACTTTAAAATGGACAGAAGCTCTACATAAAATTGTGGATGCAATAAATCACTCAAAAAGTCGCGCACTAGGAGGCTTGAGACCTGTGGATATTAGTTTTAAAAATGCTCGAAAGATTAGGAAAAGAATTTATGGAAAAATAGGTGTCAACCCGAATAATAAGAAGACACGTTTCCAAAAAGATGATTACGTACGAATGAGTCGGAACAAGAGCGTTTTTTCAAAGGGATATCTTCCCAACTACTCTGATGAAATTCTCCAGGTTGATCTTGTAAAGAATAAGGCTAATCCCAACAGATATCGTGTTCGAGATGAAAAAGGAGAAAAATTTGAGGGATACTTTTACCCAGAAGAGCTGACAAAAGTAAGAAAGGATGATAATACGAGTTACAGAATTGAGAAAATTATACGTAAAAGAAATAAAAATGATGGAAGTAAAGAATATCTTGTAAAATTTTTTGATTATCCCGACCCCGAATGGATTAACGAATCACAATTTGTTTAAAATATTTTCTTTGTTGTTAAAATATATTTTCTTCGTTGTTAAATCATTTAATTTAAAATAATAAAATTTAATTTGAAAAAATGGAAAATACTTTTTTTGTTGTATTACCTAGCAATGTCAGTGATTATTCAGACAATAAACCTAATAAATTTCGATCACATTTGGCAAAACCTATCCAATTCCAAGGCGGGAATTGGGTATGCGGTCTATATAGCATTCAATATCCTCAGTCATGGGCTGCAACGATTGGAACGGATGAAAAACAATGGATTGAAATTAACTACAATAAAGAAAAACCTTTCAGAACCGGTATACCCAAAACAACACAATTAACACCTAAAGGGTTGAGCTTCTTTCTTAAATTAGCCCTATCAAAAGATAATATAAAAAAATCAAGAAAACGAAGAGAAGTTACTACGGACACTGATGATTTAATTATTACTTCAGAAATTATTCATAAAAAATCGCCCTCTAAGAAAAGATTTAAAAGACAAACAACTGCTAGTCGTAGTGAGTTGAAATGGATCGAGACTTTCTTTGAACAATACCCGCAAAATTATTGGGACGCAATTCGTGATTTAGAAAGTGACCTTGAAAGTCATAAGGTTATTGTTGAGGCAAAAACAAAAGAACATCAAAGTGAGACGGATAATGAAAAGAAAGAAGAACTTAAAGGTGAACTAGATCATTTAACCTCGCTATCAGAGAGTAAAAAGAGAGATGTTTTTCTGTTAAGAGAAGAAGCGAACAAGAGAGATGATCAGGGAGATCTACAACTTGCAAAGGATTTTTTAGAAAGTCATCCTGACGATTATCACGAACAGATAATTACAATGAGCATAAATTTAATTACGAGATATCTTGAACTTGAAAAGAAAATTAAGGAAAGCAAGGAAGGTGATGAAAATTCGCAGATTCGCTCTACTCAAGAAATACAAAGGTTTAGAAATTCAATAAAACGTATGAGAAAAAATTTGGAGGCACTGGAATCTGCTGTAATAGAAAAGGATCTGAATACAACAAGGGAAGAATTTCATCAACAAAATTCAAAAACTCATAGAGAATATGTTCAACAATTTTTTGTTGAACATCCAACAGATTACTGGAATGTACTCGGGAAAAATTTAAATGATTTGAAAGAATTACATGGCCAGATACGTCAAAAGAGAGATGCACATATGCAAGAACAAGATGAAGAGAAAAAGAATAAACTTAGTGGTGATATAGAACAGTTAAATAAATTAGCTACATATAGAAAAAACAGGTTTAGAGCAATACAACAAGAGGCAATGAAGCGTGCGGTAAATTATGAAATTCCTATTATACCAACAAATGATGAAATAAAAGAAATGCAAAAAATTGAAGAAAGGACCCATCCTGAATATTTAAAACACGCTCGAAGAATAGATGATCAAGGAAGGCCAATACCTATTCCCCCACCCGTAATTACTGAGGAAATGATAGATGTAGTTAAAGAGAGACATAACTATGAGCAAGAGAAAGAAAAAAAGAAAAGTGAAATAGACAAGAAAAAGGAACAGGAACGGCAAGATATCTTGGATTTAGACTCACTACAATCAGAAATAATTACTCCAGAGATATTTGAGGAACAACAATTAGAGGAAACCCCAGAAGAAAAAAACCAAGTACTTATTGAAGAAACGGAAAATAAGGATCAAGATTTACATTCAGACATTGAATTTGAATATTTGGAGAGCATCGATCGTTTCCGAGCGCAGTTTAATGATCCAGAAATAAAATCCATTAATATTTCACCCCAACTTAACTATGTTCTAGGATTTCCCGATCGACCCGTAGTGCATGGCCAAATTGGTAAATATGGAATTGACATGAAAGGAGGATTCACAAGTTTTGCGGTTTATTCGAAAGGCTTGACAAACAGTGTAATAATGGGAAATGCAGTTAGTTCATTATTAAGGATAGTTTCAGTGGAAAATAAATCTGGAGGAGTGATTGAAAGAGTCTACGATCACCCTATGTTTATTCCTGTCCAACCAAGAGAAATTAATGAAATTGAAATAGAATTGCGATGGATGAATGGAAATTTAGTAAAATTTGATCATGGAACAGTTATAGTGACATTAATGTTTAATAAAGTATTAAGATTTTAAATTGTAATTTTATTCAAATATATTTCATAATTAATATTTTTCATAAATATAAATTATTGTTCAAAAAATTAAATTATTTATATTAATTGATAAACTTATTTAAAAAATGGTGCATATTCCATTCGACACAAGAGAAGTAGGGTATGATGATCACCATAATTCCATACAAATTGGTGAAGGGGGAATTCAAAATGGAGATTCTTATCATTATTTTCGGGGCAATGTGCCATTTCAACGTGGATATGGAAGACAAATAGGAGGGGGTGTCGGTGATGTTCTAAGACATTTTTGGCGATTCCTTTTGCCGTATGCGAAACGAGCTGGAACAGCAGTAGCTAAGGAAGCACTAAATACTGGAGGAAGAATTTTAGAAAGAGTAGAAAATCCTCACACGCAAGAAACTGTAAACAATTTGAAGAATACTGTCATAGATGAAGGAAAACGTGGATTAGACAGACTGTTAGAGAAAGGAGGACTCCCAAAACAATTTGGCACGGGTGCCAGAAAAAACAGTATAAAAAGAGCAAAGACAAAAAGGAAAAATCATTCCCCATTTACAACAGAAAATAATAGTCAAATATTTGTAGGAAAAATCCCTTCAAACCATCAAAAAAAGAAAAGAAAGAAAATTGATACATTAGGATTATATTAAGAAGAAAAAATGTCTACTCATAATAAAATTGATCGGGACTCTGCAAATGCAATTACAAATGCACTTTCATTTTTTGAAACTCCAAACACAAATGTCAGCGTTACTAGCTCATCAGTAATAGAGCTTCTTACTCTTAACCCAATTAATATTACACCTTATCATTTTAAAATCCACGCAAGCACAAATTATGTTGACTTAGCAAAATGTTATGTTTTAACCGAGTTAAGAATTCGGAAAGAAGATGAAAATGGACGTCTAACCAATTTGGAGGCTGCAGACAACAATGTTTCCTGCTGCCAACTTATTGGACATACAATTTGGAAAAATTGTCGTATCAGTATAAATGGAACTCAAATCTTTGAAGGAAATTCACTTATGGCATACAAAAGTATTTTCGACTATGAGCTTACTTACCCGCAGACAGTAAAAAATTCTTACTTATCCGCCGCAGGATATTACGACGATGGTGACATGGGACTTAATGGTGTTGGTTTCGAGAATAGAAGACTTTTATTTGCACCATCAGCTGATGGCACACAAAGATCAGCACAATTTATGGCAAAATTAGACGTGGACATTTGCAATCAACCTCGTTATTTAGTTAATCAGTGTGAAGTGGATATTGAACTTTTGCCCCATGATTCAAATTTCCTTATTGTTGCTCCAGGAGCAACTAATCATAAATATCATTTAGAAGTACTTGCATGCAAATTATATATAAAGAAAATTGAACTTATGGACAGTCTTGCCTTTGATATAGCAAAGAAATTAGAATTGAAGCCAGCGCGATATCCGATGAGAAAAACTTCACTAAAATCACTATTCATAAGTGAGAACCGAGCAGAATTTAATGCTAATCTATGGATGGATCAAGTACCGAGGAGGGTGATCCTTGGAATGGTTAAGAATTCCGATTTTGTTGGATCTCAAAAGACACAGCCTTTTAATTTTCAACATTTTAATTTAAGAGATATATCAATTAATGCCGGAGGGGTGAATTATCCAGCTGCCCCTTATTCTCTTGATTTCCCGAACGGCAAGTATGTGCGAATATATCATGATATGCAAGAGGCAATAGGCTACGCGGGGACTTTAGATAGCAATGGAATTTCAATGCAACGTTTTTCAAATGGTGGATTTTGTCTGTTAGTATTTAATCTTACTAATAGTCAGGAAGATAATGGCCCAGAGACTTTTGATTTAATAAAGAATGGAACAACAAGTGTAAAAATGTCTTTTAATGAACCGATTCCACAGGGAGGGGTTGTTTTAATAGCTATGGGTGAAGTTGATTCTCTATTGATGTTAGACAGAAACAGAACAATAACCAGTGATATTTCAGTATAAAAAGAAAAACTTGTTAATTTACAAAGCATTTATAAAATTTTTCAAAAAATGTCAAAAATTATTTGTTTGTCTTTTATTTTGCTAATAAATATTTTATTATTATCATTTTTAAATTATTGTGAAACAAAACCCATACCGTGTATGTATGATGCAGATGACTATCCCGAATACAGAGATTATTTACGTTTAAAATTTGGTCCTAACCCTTCTACAGACGAACTTCCAGAGTACAAAGAATATTTGAAAAATCTACAAAAATCAACGCAACCTCCGTGCGAAACAAGACAATATGACCAAAAATTCGATATTTTAGATCACATGAACCGAGAAGTTCATCTACCAATCCCTTGTTCAGACATAAAAGACAATTCTGGAAACTACAATTTTTATTGCATTGCACTGATACTTTTATGGTTTATGGTTATAGTTTCAGCCATACTTTATCAATTTCGATCAATTATTAACATAAAAAGCAAAATTACAAGAGTACCAAGTGGAGAAACGTCAAATAGAGTCGAAAACGATGAATACAATTCAAATTGAAAAAATTTTATATGAGAGCCGAATTACAAGAAGATATTTTATAGGATGTTTTGCAGCGGATAAGATCCCAAAAGAAATACAAAAATTTCCATGTTCGATGGTAGTCAATCTCGATAGAGCAACAAATGAAGGATCACATTGGATTGCAATTTATATAAGAAATCAGACGACAGCTTATATTTTCGATTCACTACTAATCCCTATCTTGCCTGTTCCAATAAAAAATTTTTTATCACAATTTCCAAAACAAATTAAAAACAAATTTCCCGTACAAAACCCAGTATCTAAAGAATGTGGGCAGCATTGTATTGTATTTTTATATTTCATTTCCCTAGGATATACATATGAAAAATATTTACTAATCCTAAATAATTGTCCAAACCCCGATGAATTTGTAAAATCATTTGTAAATAAACTAATTTAATCAATTTTATTTTAATAAAAATTAATGAAAACAAGAGAAATTTATAAAAAAATTAAGCAAAAGAAAATATCATTTTTAGGGGTAAAAGTGCAAAATTAAGGAAAAGAAGTTTAAATTTAAGAAAAATTAATGATTGTAAAATGAAATTTTTATTTTACTTTGAAGAATATAGTGTAATTTCGTGTTTTTCCCAATGTTTCTTGCCATCCACATATAGCCAAAGGATTCCCCGCCTTGTGTGATTTATCACCTTGTGTGATGTTTCAGCCGATTTTTCAATATTTGAATTTGTTGAACTTATATCAAACGTTTCTGTCGATTCTGAAGACGATGACGCCTTTTTGCGCAAATTTTTCATTGTTATTGGAGAATCAGAGTCTGTTTCTGTTTCCTCCATGTCTGAGTTTAATTCAAGAAGTTCCAAAGGATAGTACAAATTTTTATATTGAATGCATTGTTGATAAGGGTATTTTAGCAAAATTCGATGTCTAGCATAGAAATACGCACTAACACAAATATTGAAAGGCGATCGGAGATTTCCAAAAGCCATTAACTGGTGAGAACAATGAGTAGTAATTCCATCACAATAAATTATTTGCTTTGATCCGTTCCGATCTAGATAATTAGTTTTCAAAGCTTTTCCTCTAATTTCATCGAGGACGCGGTCTCTGTCTGATTTATTGTTAAGACGATAGCGAACATTTTCAGGAGTACAATCCAGAATTTTTGAAATTTTGTCCAAGAGAGTTGACATTTTTTTTGCAATAAATATTTATTTTTAAATGAATGAATAATGAATAAAAATACTTTGCCTTTATATACGCCGATAAAAAGTGTAATGATAGCAAAAAAGATAGATAAGCCCCGCCCCTTTTTTGAGTATAAATACTCGAGTTTCTGAACCAGAAATTCATTCATTAATTTTTAAAGCAAAATTAAAATCATGTCCAACCCAACTTCCCCAAACTTAGTTAAGGTTGAAGAGGCAAAGCCTGATATAATTGAAATTGTTGAAGAAAAGAAAGCAAATGTTGATAATAATGATAATGGGGATAAGGACCTTTGGTTAAGCAAGAAAGCAGTAATCAGGAAGGTGATTGCAAAAAATACAGCGAACAATAAAATGTTATGGAAACTAACAAGAATGAAATATATTCCTCGACTTGAGTTCCGCCTTTGCCGAACTTGCTCAAACATTTTATTCCACAGCACTGGAAGAGTTGTCGAAAGCGAAAATACTGGTGGTGTCAAAATCTCCTTCGATTTGTGCAAACAATGTGTTTATCTAAACATGTACGTGAAGGATGTTCTATGCGATTGGACAATCATGAAAAAACAAGAAGATCAAGAAAAGACCACAAATTCAAATTAAATATCAAAATTGTACATTTAAAATTCAATTCAAATATTTTTTTAATTTTAAATAAATTTTTTTCCCTTTTTGCGTTTTCTAGGATTTGTTTAAATGAATAGGGACTTAATTTAAACTTTATTTTATTCTCACTTTTCCCTCTCTGCCACTAAATTTATTGAAAAAACTAGGCCGAAAACTTAAACATTTTCCCTTTTTCTTTTCCTTTTTCTAGGATTTTTTAAATGAATAGGGACTTTTAGTTTAAACTTTATTTTCTCTTGTCCCCGTCTGACTTTAAATTTATTG